TATAAATATATATATATCTTTTTCTATATATATAATTATCTTTTTCTATCTATTTATCTATAAATATATATATATCTTTTTCTATATATATAATTATCTTTTTCTATCTATTTATCTATGTCTTTCTATATATCTTTTTCTCCTATTTATATTTTTCTTTTTCTATCTATATAATTATCCTTTTCTATCTATCTATTTATATATCTATATCTTTCTATCTATATATCTTTTTATATATAATTATCTTTTTCTATCTATATATCTATATATTTTTCTATCTATTTCTTTTTTCTATCTATCTTTTTCTATCTATAATTATCTTTTTCTATCTATCTCTTTCTATCTATATCTTTCTATCTATATATTTTTCTCTCTATTTATATCTTTTTCTATCTAGATTTTTTTCTCTCATATCTTTTTCTTTATATCTATCTATATATCTTTTTCTATCTAAATCTTTTTCTCTATATCTATTTATATCTCTATTTATTTTTTCTTTCTATCTATCTATATTTTCTCTCTATCTAGATCTTTTTCTTTATACATCTTTTTTCTATCTTCTATCCCTTTCTATAATCTATCTATCACTCTTTCTCTCTCTCTCCATCCATCCATCATAATCCCTATTATTTCCATCCATCCATGCATTGTATATGTCTATCCCATTTATTTATCATGCCTCTTACATGTCTATTATTATCCTATCTGTCTATCCATCCCATCCATCATACATGCCTGTTATCTCCATCCACCCATCCACCATATAAGTCTCTTCTATTTATTGATCCATCCATCAATCAGTCATACGTGCCTATTATCTCATCCATCCATCCATCAATTGTTTATGTCTATTCTAATTTAAGATGAAACTCACATACTAATGAGAATGAAGGATTCACTGGAGAAGAGCCTAATGCTGGGAACCATTGAGGACAGAAGAAGAAGGGGACGGCAGAGAATGAGGTGGTTGGATTGAGTCACCAAAGCAGCCGGCGTGAGCTTAAATGGACTCCAGAGGATGGTAGAGGTCAGGAAGGCCTGGAGGAACGTTGTCCATGGGGCTGCGATGGGTCGGACACAACTTCGCAACTAACAACAACAACAAATTCTAATACCTATCCATCCATCACACATATCTATCATACCTATCCATCATGCCTATTATCTCCATCCATCCAGCCACTATATATGTCTATTCTATATATCTATCTATTCATCCATCTTACATGCCTATTATCTCACCCATCCATCCATTCCATACAACTGTATGTTCTTTCTCTTCTATCTATCTATCTAGATAGATAGTGGGAGGCACCGTGTTACGGTGGTTCTCCTCCTACCTCTCGGACAGGTCGCAGTCGGTGTTAGTGGGGGGGCAGAGGTCGTCCCCTAGGCCCCTAAATTTTGGGGTGCCTCAGGGCTCGGTCTT